GGGTGACCTACGACTTTAACGCGCTGCTTCAATTTGGGACAAGTCCCGGACCTTAGCAGAGCTTTTCCATTGGACAAGAGCGTCCGTCTTAGGACACGGCTCAACAAATAACACTGGCGAGGTCCTGGCCTTGCTTGGTATGCCGCAAAATATCTTATTCTTAAGAATTGCTTGACTCTTTCAGAGCCAGGAACTCCATTTTTATGAGAGCTAATAGTTTCGCTTATTCTTTTGCAAATGTTTTGCGTTCCAGAACTATCCTTACGCGAACTCCACGAAAGAAGTATAAGACAGTTTCGCAAGAAGAACTTCCCAGACCATCCGAGCAAGGAGGAACCGGAAGTGTTGAATATAGTAGAACCAAAGCATCGCGTAGTCTACCACGTAAGTGTAATGAAATATTATTTGATTAATTGATAAGAATATGTTCAGCGTGACGATCTTAAAAACATATCGTTCGAAGATTTCACTCCAACCAGACGTGGTAGATACTCGAGGGAACAAGCGTAGGAATGTGTGGAAAAAATGGAAAAATTCTTTCTTATACATATGTACTTTAATGTCGTTTGGTATGAAGCAGAGGTAGTAATAAAAAGATTTGGATAAAGCTAGTCAAAGAGGTATTTTACACAACAACATGTCAAAATAACCGGACTTTTTAACAAGCTGTAAATGCGGATTTTAGATTGAAAATACGTGAAAAATTATAAATTGAACACTCTCGTAAACCATCTATAACTTTGATCGCCCGTCTTTCATCATTGGTCCGAGGTATTTTTTAAAAGTTGGTAGTACCTAAACAAAATAAAAGCTGACCCTTTGCAACTTCATGTATAGTCTGTCTCAATCATGGTGTCCCACTCCAATAAACGCGACGTGTGCCATGCGGGGCGCTCGCACCAGTTTGCTTTGACTGGACATTGGTCTAGTCGATATGAAGCATGCGGAAGCGTAGCCCTCGCGCTGCGCATGCGGCGGCACGCGGAGGAGAGACACTGCAAATGAGACAGACTCTAACTGTAAGCCCACTTCTG